TGGCAGGTAATAATCTCATTATTATTATATCTCTTCCAATAAATTTTTTCTAATCTGATAAATGGAGAGTATAATCTCTATCTTTGGCTTGGCTTGGGAGTGCATAGCATATACTAATAGACAATAAGTCAAGATAGTGTAACTACGGCAGTAGTAGACATCTTGGGTACAATCCCTGAAAGCCACCTGAAAGCACTGACAAAATTGCAAAAGGCAACCTTACTTGAAACAGCTTACATCCTTGACAATATCTTCAGACCATCAAACCACAACATTTGCTTATTTCGGGTTCTTGAGAAGGACTCAGTAGGCGAATAAAATATCAAATCTAAGAAATTGGTTGACTATGCAACAACCAAAATCATAAAGGTAGACATGCAGTCACCCAACTTTATAGTTTAGTGTTGATATTTATCTCTAAATACGTTTAAATAAATAGACAGCTTTCTGTTATTTGGCAAATTTTGTAGAGAACTCTTTGCCTTTCTGCTAACTTCACATCACAGGGATAAGACTGTAAGCAAAGTAGGTTGATCTTAAAACCACTGCTACTGTAATGTTCTTATCATCGCGTGGCTCCACAAGGCCAGCAGGATTACTGGCCTCCCATAAGAGCAACGGGGGCTGCTGTTGCTGCTGGTGGTGATGATACGGTGGTGGTGGTGGCGATGACAACGACGATGCTCATAGTCATGATAACAGTGGCAGCAGGACAGAAAAGTTGTTCCAAATGACTTGTGGCAAAGCCAGTTCGTCTGATGATAGGGTAATGGTAATCTATGAAATGCTGCCAGCCTACAAGGAGTTGGAAGAAGGCACTAAGGGAAATTCTCTGCCAATATGTAGATGGGGCGGAAGGGAAATATCAGAGAGAAAATCGGCACAGATAGCGTGAGGCATGTTCAGCCAGATGATGCAATATGTAGAGAATAGGCTGTGGTTTTCCCCATGAACATTCATATACAATACATTTGTTTATAATTCTTTTTTTAGATGTGTGTCTATTGGTCATTCCTAATTTGCCCGAGAATTTGAGAGGGAAAGCTGTGGCTTTGACAGCAGCGTTATTCATTTTGTTGAGTGTCATCACTGGGGCTACTGTTTTCGTATGGAGAAGACTGCGAGCCAGGCCTATGTCTGTTAACCAGGTTGGATATAAGAAATTGGCAGACAACGCAAAGACTCTCAGTTCTTTCAAGAGCAATCACTACCAGAGCACCAGCTACCCAGAAAATCAAGTGAACGAATATAAGGATCGGGATGATGATGATGACGATGAAGAAGACAACGATATTGTCTATATGAGCAGTGATGGCACTGTCTATCGTAAATTTAAATATGGACTTCTGGAAGATGATGACATAGATGAACTGGAATATGATGACGAAAGTTACTCCTTTACATAACCTAATGTTTGTACAATTGTCATTGCATTTGTAATCCTTTGCTGAATAAGTTACCGGAAGATATATGTAAATGTAGTACAAGTTCAGAATCTCACCTAAATGATAAAAATAACCACTTACTACATATCTGCAAATACTGTGGTATTATGTTTCCTCATTATTTGGTAGAACAAAGCAATCATCCTTCCATCATAGGCAAACTATAGTAGGGTATCATTTTTGGTAAATGGCTATCTGTATTCGTTCATTCATGTTTCAAGTATGTTTCTTCCTGCATTTTTATATTAAAATTATTCAAATCATGAAGTACTTGTCTGAGACAAAATGTTTCTAATAAAATTGAAATTTATTAAATTAAATCACCCACCACTTTTCAAAAATAGCACCATTGGACAAAATAATACCACTGATGCAGAGTTCCATTCTAACTTCTATTGTGTCATGTATCAATACAGTGATGAAACAAGGAATAATATGCATTCAAACCATGTAGAACGGAAAAATGAATAAATGCAACAGCCTACCATGAATATGAATAACTGAATGTAATAAAAGGCAAAAGCTACCTATTATATGTAGAGTTTGTCATTTGTTCACCTCACTGGTTTGGTAATTCTCAGAAGAAATGTTTGGGGTTGTTATATAATCCAGTCTTCCAAAACTACTTCTCATGGCAAAAAATAATTTGATTTTTGGTGAGAATATACCATACATATTTATGACGTGGTGTTAGGAATCTGTTTTGCAGCGCAAATGAATAGAGAAAACTGTTAGATAATTTCATGGTTTTTTGTTTTTTTCTGTTGAAAATAACTAGGACCAATTTATCAAGCAACGAGTTTATCATCAATAAAACCTGTTTATCATTGCAAGACTGAACTGCAATGAACCATGAGTTTAGTTGAAACTTTCTATTTTCACTTATTCAGGGCTTGGCAATTTACAATTCAAATTGTAATTATGCAACGATTTAGCCTAAAGCCCTAATATTAGCTAAAGAAAGAAAAATTAATAAAACATATTTTATTTTGTTTCTATGAAGCATACCTAAAACTAACTACAGATTATTTAGTCTAACATAGAAACAAAGATCTTGGCTGGTCTGTTTCCTTGCTTTCCAAACATTTTGCATTATACTTCAATGCAGGCATATGAAAGTGCAAATTGGTTTAAAGTCTTACTTTTCTGTTGAAAGTTTCACTCCCTAAATTAAAAAGGGTCTGTGAATCTAACCCTAATGTCTAATGTTTTAAGCCCTGACATCAAGGAAGCTGAACCATAATCAGATTTCCATTCAGAATCTAACAATAATCCTAACCCTAAATGATTTCTGACCATATCACTAACCACCACCCTAATCTAAACCTAAGCCTAACTGGATATCCACCTTTAACCTCCAACCCTAAATCGAAACCTCACCCTAACTGAATTTCCATCTCTAACACTAATACACTAATCCTAAACCTATCCCCAAGCACCCAATCTAACCCTAATTGGATTTCCATCCCTAACCCTAACATGAACCTTCATGCTATCTGACCATAAATCTCACCCTAAATCTTCCCAATACTGGAATGCCATTTTAATCCTAACCCGGATGTTGGCAACCCATGACTCCGGAAACACATGTGGCTCTTTGGGCACTCGGCTGTGGCTCCCCATCCCATCACTGGCTGGCCCCGCCCCTTATGTGGCCTGAGAAGGTAAGAGTAATGGCAGGGGATGGGGAAGTGGCTGGGGCTGATTCTCCGGCACCTCACTCTTGCTGGAGCTTCTTCCAGCCCTTGTTGGTGTGGGCGTGCCTCGGTCAATTGGGGAGACACACAACCTGCTCTCTGCCCTAAACCAATACAACACATAACCACAATGCTAACCTTAATCCTAATCCATACTCTAACCCAGGGGTCTCCAAACTTGGCAACTTTTAAGATTTGTGGACTTCAACTCCAAGAATTCTTCAGCCAGTGATGTTGGCTGGGAAATTCTAGTAGTTGAAGTCCACAAATCTTAAAGTTGCCAAGTTTGGAGACTCCTGCTCTAACCCAAGGCCTAACCCCAAATCTCACCAACTGGATTGCGATGCCAAACTCTAAGCCTAACTTGATTTCTAACCTTAACCCTGACTGGATTTCCAACCCAATGGGGATTTTCCATGTAATTTATGAGGAAACTAGGATAATAGGGATTCAAATTATGAGAGGTCTCTTAAGTACAATGAGGCTCTCCAAATTTGCATTGTTTCCTGGCAATTGCCTGAACTAGTCCTTGAAGTTTTCTTGGCAAGATTTTGCAATAGTTTGCTTTGGCCTCTTTTCTAGGAGAGGGCTGTGAGGAAACCTGAATGACAGCAATAGGTCCAAGATTGCCCAACTGACTTTGTGCCAACGGTATGACTCTCGGTTTCTAGCCTGGTCCCTTAATTATTACAACAAATTGGCTCTATCATATAAATCCCTTCCCACCCCCAAAAAAGTTAAATTAAGTTGGTAGTCAGCCAAATGTTGCCCACGTTGTTTTATTTCAACAGAATGGTATCTGATATTTTTGCAGATTTTTTTTGTGTGGAGTGGAAAAAAATAAGTGAAAAACATATAACTTTTCTTTTTTTATTTCTTGAAATTAATAGAAAAATAAAACTTAATAAAATCACAATGACGAATTTAAAATTGCTTATCTCTCTATATAAAAAGGCAGAATTCAATACATATTCATTTGATTTCATATGCTGTTTAAAAACCAGGACTGATCAATATATTTGATTTCTGGTTTCTACTTGCTGCTTCCAAACCTTTGTTTTTTCAGTGATACATTTTCTTAAACAATAATTTATATACATACCATGATTGATAGTTAAGCAATTTATCTCACAAAGTAACCCTGTCAGAAGGCACTTTCTAAAGTAACAAAACAATTGACAAATATACACTGCCAACAGTATAGCCAATAATGTCCAGAATATCTTAACATTCATATTTATGAAGCTACAGTAGTATGAGCATGAGGAGGAAGAGGGAAAAACAACAGTGCTGAAAATCTATTAACTTTATTACCAATTATTGTGGTCCCAAATTGCGTATAAGATGACAACTTCCATTTTTTTGCTGACACAAGAAATCTCTGCCCTAATTCTACTCATTACTGAACTGTGTAAAAAACAAAAGCACTTTGAATGCTGCACGATTCAGAATGTTACACAGACGTCCCATCCAGATAAAAAGATTTCTGTTTCCACATTTTAGAGATGGCAGTAACAGCATGAGACCTAGTGGCTATAAAGGTAGTCCTCAATTTGTGACCACAATTGAGCCCAAAATTTCTGTTGGTAAACAAAACATTTGTTAAGTGAGTTTTGTCCCATTTGATGACCTTTCTTGCCCCAATTGTTAAGTGAATCACTGCAGTTGTTAGGTTAGTAACATGGTTGGTAAGAGAAGCAGGTTTTCCCATTGAGTTTGCTTGTCAGAATGTCATAAAAGGCAATGACATGACTCTGGGACACTGCAACCATCACAAATATGAGGCAGTTGCCAAGTGCCTGAATTTTAATCATGTGACCATGGGTATGTTGCAAAAAATGGTCATGTCACTTTTTTTAGTGCTGCTGTACCTTTGAACAGTCACTAAATAAACTGTTGCAAGTCGAGGACTACCTATAGGTAGCCCCATCACCAGTCTGAGAAAGATATTCTTTGGCACACAAGTTGAAATGAGTGGCAGTCCTAGATTGTATGAAGCTACAAAGAAATATGCACAGCCGAGGTAGTCCTCGACTTATGACATTTGGGACCAGAACTTTTGTTGTTAAGCGATGTGGTGATTAAGTGAGTCAGACCAAATTTTACAACCTTTTTTGCTGCAGTCATTAAGCAAATATTTAAGCAATGGTGATCATGTGAACAAACAACATTGCAACCATTACAAATCCAAACCGGTGGGCAAGAACCCAAATTTTGATCCCATGATTATGCGGAAGCTGCAACGCAGTGCAAAGAACAGCAAATTAAGTCATTTTTTTCAGCGCCGTTATAACATCAAACTAAACAACTGGTCATAAATTGAGGACTATCTGTAAAGCCTTGGTACTGTAAGGACTGCATATGCAGATTGGGTAAACAGAGAAAACACGGGCACTTTACCAAGATAAAAATAAGAGGAATCCAAGTTTTTAAAGTTTAATGATAACATAAGTTAATGTTACATGAAATAATAAAAATTTGAACCATGAAAAAAAGAACTCGGGATTCCTTGCAAATGAACAATCTGGGGCCTCTTAAATGAAAGACACAAGACTTCTAATTCATGATGCTCATGCAGCGAACATATATTTGGGGTGGTCTTTCCCCTGACGCATTTGTTCACATATATTCAATGTGAGCTTTTTTGTACAGATAAGTAAGATTCAAATGTTCTACACAATCCCTAGAAGCTTGTAACCATTAGTGCATTTGTAAAATTTTCAAAGTGCTATCAACAATTCTCCACTTCATTCTCCATACACACAGTGTACATATTTCCAGACTAGACTTTTCAACTAAATGCACATCCCATTTTCCAACAATATTTATCAATCCAATTAACATTTAATTAAATGTTGAATTTTACATAAAAACATGTATCAAAATGAAAAATATAAGCAGAAAAAAAAACGTAATTGGTAATAAGCTTCTGGTGTTTTTGTTTTTCCAAGCATATAAATGTCCTTGGCCAAGCAAATCCCTATATTGACAGAGATGCTATGAAAGCTGCAACAATAGAAACATGTTAGGAATGCTAGTTACATCCTAATACACATATCTGTGTATATGTGTGTGTGTATGCGTGCACACACACACACACACATTTTTAGCAGCTGATAAGTCATGTATACAGACACAAATACATGTATGTGCAGTTTAATTTCATTATTTGCTGATTTCATATTTACAATTTCACCTATGTACTGAAATGTGTATTTAATACCAAATACTCATGGCAATTTTGCAGCCATTTAGAGACAAGCTCAGAGCAGTGAAAAATGTGAGTCATTTGACATGCATGTCCCCACTGAGGCTGATAAAGTGATACTTTGCCTTTTTATTTCAGCTCCCATATTCTATACTGTACTATAAAATGAAATAAATAAGCTCTATAAATGTCTAGGAATTCTCAGTTGAAGGCAGGAGAAATTAAATTATGCTTTTATTCCCACTGAAATTAATAGCATAATTCAATCACAGAGGACTTAAAACCTTTTTTAAAGGGATTTAAAAGGGCTTCAAACAAATCCAGGTAATGTTTCAAATGAACAATGAAAAGCCTCTAGGACAACAATTCAGGCAGTAAAATTACTGATACCATTTCTCCTTTTCCATTGGAAATCTTTTACTACAAAAATATCCAGCATGGGCATTATTAATTAAATAGCAATCATGAGAAATATTTAGAAACATTTAGAAAACAAACTTTTGTCTGCAGTTAGATGGCACTAACAGATTGCACTTTCTATTGGTCAAGTTGCATTGCCCTTTTTTTAAAAATGAACAAAAATGGTGTTAGAGAATCACTAACCATTTTAATGTAATACTAACAGAATAACAATCCTAAATAGCAGAGCAGTCTTCTCTATTAAAAAGAAACATGTGAAGATCAGTTCAGCTTAAATAACTGCAGTGAAAATTTTAAAAAGGGAAATATTTAATGACCGTTAGTCATACTGTTAACACATCCTCTGTGAAAGAAGTTGTCGTCTTTAAATTTCTGGTGTTCTGGCAAATCTAGAAGATTTTTAGCTTCCTCAATGTCATGTTGAATAGCAGCTATAAGTGCATCTGTAGAGGAAAAAATAAAACATCAACTACTTCTAGAGCAGGAATGGCCATTTGACTTTCTCAAGGGGCCACATGACAAACTGGGATTCCTGCAGAAGGCCACAGCGCTGCCCACAGTGATGCCACTGTCCAAACCCCAAGGCTGCCACCACCCCCCACTGCCAATGCCCTGCTTTTAACATTGTTATTGTCTCACCCATCACGGGACAGACTTGGATCACCTGTGAATCAGATGTGGCCTCTAGGCAGTAAAATTCCAAAGTATATAATATTGATAAATGCCTGATTCAGGATGAAGTATTTAAAGCATCTGCGGTCTACAAGTTTCTTTCATACCACCTAAACTGAGTGAGTTATAGACTGAGAGTGTCTATGTATGTTGCTTTTTCTATGTAGCTTTTAATTATAGTTTACATAACTCAGACCTTGCCAAAGAAGAAGTAGAAACAGAGCAAGAAAAGCGTCATGAGCCTTATTCATATGTCAAACCATGACATGACTGAATTATAAACACAATTTATGTACTTTCTCAAGTCAAGATGGATTTTGTAGCACATCAACAGCTCTATGAAGTAGATTGGGCTGAGAGATGTAAGCTTCCAGCATTACTTTGCCAATAGACTGAAGCTTCTTGTTCCTAGTACAATGCAAATATCCCTCAAACTAAGATTTATCAGTTGGGTACTGCTTTTTACACCCAGAATATCTGCAATTTTCCATACTTTTTCTATCTCTATATAATGTGCACCACAGGCAGATGTTGCAAATGTAAATTTTCTTGAGGAAGAAAATATTTCTGATCTACAGTTTCACCAAACCAATACAGGTATAAACATTCTTTCATATTCTTTGCCTAAGCAACCTAAATTTTAAGAACTCCTGTGGTACAGTAATTATATTAAATACCTGTTTTTATTAGGCATTATCATTTGTCAAACAAATACTCAAGACTTACCTAAAGAATCAAAATTCTGCTCTGGTCTTATATAACCAACAATGATTATGCTGAGTACTTCCCCATAAAAGTCTTCGTTGAAGGTGTGAATGATGTGCGTTTCCTAAAAATAAAACATTTCACAGCATGTTTCTGTATATATTAAAGGAATGAAATAAAAACATACTTATTTTTAGAAGTTTTAAATATGAGAAAAACCAAAACAACTATTGATTTCTATACAAAACAGATAGTTCTTGCTTAATGACCATTCAGAGAATATTCAAATTTAGGACATCACAGAACATATGGCTTTATGGCTGGTCCTCAACGTTCTTGCTGTTGCATGTGATTCTGTGGTCATGTAATCAAAAGCCTTCCCACATTTTGTAGGAGGATTTACAAGAGGCAAGTTAGGGCAAGAACAAGCAACAAATTATGAATAGGTTCTGTCAATGCTGGGCTTGCCTCCAACCCGTTGCTAGGCCTGCAGGTTGGCTTTCCTGAACTGCTCCCAATGGGACCGGCAAACACGCGCTGCACTTCCGAGAAGCTCTCATCCTCCGTTTTCTTTAATTCCACAACTACCCTGAACAGCCTCTTCCTCACAGCCTTCTCTCCACCTTTGCCCGGGGAGCTACCATCTGTCTTGTCTTGCCCACTGATGGAGTACTTCTCAACTCACTTTCCCACACCTAGGCAGAGAAAGCTCCCCTGTCCTGCTGCACACATCCCAGGACTGCAATTTGCCAGCAGCAATGAAGACAGCAAAAGTCAGCAGGAGATGGCAGGGATAAAATGAAAAGTGCAGGGTGCCCAAAAGAGCAGGGGGTGGGTTTTTTTTTTGGGGGGGGGGGATAAATGGATGGGAGGAGTTACAACAAAGGTGAGTGCAGAAGTGTGAGCTCCTGGTCTAACAATCACACAGTGCTTGCCTAAATATCACAACTGGAACCTCTGAAACTGCCATTGGTAAGCGCTGTGATCATGTGATGTTTTGTCTAACAACTGCTTTGCTTAGAAAATTAACTATCTGTACAGGTAGTCCTCGACTTACAAAAGCTCATTTAGTAAACATTCAAGTTAATTCTAAGATACTAACACATAACATACTCACCACTGATTTCTTAACATTCTTGTAATACGGATTCCAACCTATACTCAAAACCACTTTATGCACATCTCCAGTTCCAATACAACCCCATCCATAGTATATGCCAGTGGAGAGATCAGATGGGAAACTATCAACCACTTCTTCGGAAAAGTTAGCTGAAAAACAGATTTATATGAACCATTAAAATAACTCATAGCATATGTGAAAAGAGCAGGCAGAAAAGTCTTATATCAAGGGCCTTCAAACTTGGCAAGTTTAAGATTTGTGGACTCACAAAATTCCTGAGTTAACATGACTGGAGGAGGAATTTTGAGAGTTGAAGTCCAAAAGTCTTAAAGTTGTTAAGTTTAAAGACCCCTGACTTATTATAAGAGTATCTTACTATGATCTATAGTAGGATAGCTAAACCATCGGATAGCTAAATATATATAGGGTAATTTATAGTAATGTTTAAATTACTCTTCAAATGTACACATGCATACATGCTCAACAAGAAGGCCTGCCTGCATTTGAATTTCCAGGAATGCTTGTTTTGTAATTTGGTAATTTACATATATATTTTGGTTAGGAAAAAAACTACCTCATCTACAACATAATAAAGGTATTACATTAATAATATAACACAACTTCATCTTATAACATGACTTGTGTTACATATTATCTCCTTTAAAGCAAAAAGAGTGGAAAGTTCATGAATGTGTCCATGTTCCTCATATAAATGCATGAAAGTATTTAACAAAAAGCCCATTATCATTCAGGACTATCTATTGGGAACTAGGAACATTATAGTGAGTACAGTTTTCAAACCATATTTGTTAAAAACCTATTGTCATGCCTCTATTGGAATGTGCTTGAGAGAGAGGCTGAGCAGTTGAAAGGGAGTGGGAGTGTGGCTCCATTGACTGTGGAAGAAACTGGAGAAGGGCACAGTCTGGCTGGGCAGAGCAGGGGAGAGGTAGAGCAAGGGAGAGGGAATTCGGAGGAAAACCCAGGCTCACCATCTCTTCATCCTAAGGCATGCAGGGAGGAACAGAGAAAGGAGCAAGGTGAGTTGTGTGGCTTACAGGGGAGGAAAGGGCCCTGATTCCCTTCATTAGCTGCAGCTGAGAACAGTGTTTAAAAAGGAAAGCTACGCACAGCAATTTGTTGGAAGCAAATCGTGAGTTATCTGTTATTGTCAAAGCTTATTTGGGTGCCTGGCATCTTCCCAACTGTGTGTGTTTTGTTAGCCTTTCAACTCTGCAATTCCTTATCCTGCCCTGTCAAGTTAATTGTTGCAGCACTGCTTGTGTGGATTTTTATTTACAGTTTGTATGTACTTTGTTTTTGGACTGAATTTCCTCCACTTAAAGACTGCTCTTGGGAAAGTTTTTTTCTCCAGCGGAAGATAACCTAGACGTTGGGGGCAAAGTTGGGGGTATTAAAGGGACTTTTATTTGACTGTGTTGCCTTTGGGCCACACCCCTGGTCATCACACCTATGTGTTACCTCTTTCCATTAGATGTAGAAGCCCAATTCTAAATAACCACAAAATATCCCTTATGGAACCAGTTTTAATCCAAACAGTTGGGGACACTCTCTTGGCTGGGGAGGAATTTAGGCAACATAATTGGTACAACAGAATACCAGAAAAAATGGGGTGGAAAGTTACATTGGGAGCCACAATACCTGTTGTTAGTCTATGGCAAATTAGACTAATGGTATAGCAATTAAGGTGCTGGTCTAGAAACCAGGATGTGCTAGTCTACCTTTAACCCCAAAAGCCAGCTGGGTGCCTCTTTTTCAGCCCAACCTACTTCATAGGGTCATTGTAAGGAACGAGGGAGTTTGCCACTTTGAGTTACAGGTAGTTCTCGACTTATGACCACAACTGAGCCCAAAATTTATGTTGAGACATTTGTTGCCCCATTCGTTGCCATAGTTTTAAATGAGTCACTGCAGTTGATGTTAGTTAACCTGGTTGTTAAGTGAATCTGGCTTCCTTTGCTCATCAGAGGGTTGCGAAAGGGAATCAACACAACCCCCTTGGACATTGCAACGGTCGGCCGTAAGTCTGAACCAGTTGCCAAGCATTTGAACTTTGATCACAGGGAGGCTGCAAAGGCCGTCCCTGAGAAAAACAGGCCTAAGTCATTTATTCCACTCCAGCTGTTAACTTGGATGAAACTGTTGTAAGTCGAGGACTATTTATACATTTATTTCTAAAGTAATACCTGCGGGATCCAATCAAATAATAAAGTCGTTTTAAGAAGAAGAATAAACCATACCAGCTATCTACAGGAAGGGGCCGAGTTGGACTTTGAACGGGATTTCGTATTACCAGACCCCCCCAAAAAACCCCAAGCCCCACTCACACTAAAGCCTCGTATTCAAGGCAAGAAAGCGGGAGACGACCTTCCCTCCCCCCGGCCCCCAAACGCCCCGTCGGCCGCCTCAAGAACCCGGCAGGGGCGTCCAAGAGAAGGCGGGGCGGACTCCGGGGAGCGGCGCCTCGCTTCCCCCGCGCTCACCTGTGCGGATACCCAGCTCCTTGGAGCCCCGCCCGAAGCCTCGCACCACCTCTCCGCTGCAGAAGTACGGCAGGTTCTTCATGGCGACGGAGCAAAGGCAGACGCGGGATGGGAGGCGCAGGCGGCTCAAGGCTTCGTCCCCGAGAGCGAGAAGCGCGGCTGTTCCGCCGACGCTCCAGGAGCGTCTTGCCCGAGCGGCCACGCACGCTCGCAGAAGAGAACTGCCGGTGCGGAAGAGGCGGGGCATCGTCGTACGTCACAGGAGATGCGGGGGGGGGGGGAGAAGAAGGAAGAACGCAAGGACGTCCTAGCACGGCTCGGCTGTTTCCTTCTTGCGAAGGTGGCTCAGAGGACGAGGTCGTCAGACGCCGGTTGTGGGGGGGAGGGGGAGGGAACCGCCGCATTTCCGCCCTGCGCGAGAAGATTGGCCGGGGGGCGGGGGTGGGGAAATGCCGACAGCGCGCCTGCGCCTTATCGAAGTCGTCGGCGGAGGTTGAGCGTCCGGGAGTTTCCTGACGAGCCTTGAAACGGTTGGCGGTCCAAGGCCACCAGAGGCTGCTAATCAAGGATTAATACTAGAGGAACAATCAAGCAGAACAATACTCTAGCTGAGGCACTACCAAGAAGAAAATCACACACCCCTCACCAGCATTAGCAGAGCAAATATACAGAAGTATATGAATAGGGAACAAATCCCATGCTCAGTAGCTCTGTTACCTAGTCAGGTATTGAAATATCTGCAAGCATACTAACCCCCCAAACCCCATAACTAAATAAAGTTAATCCAGTACAAAGAAAAATGGATGCACCAATTCTAAAATACACATGCATACACATGCATTCAAGTAAACATTTAGAGAAAAAGCTGAGCAGATGGCCAATCCAGATTATAACATCCAGGAATTTTCCATCACCTAAAATTCCCCAGCTATTTCCAGGCTGTTATATCAAGAGAGGAGGAAAAATACCACTTCCGTAGAAGAACACATAAAGCAGGCTGATTTGTGGTGCATTACGCACTGGCCATGCCCATGCCCGATTTAGCAAATGGGGGGAAAGTCCTGATACGTCACGTGATGCCACCATGACAACATGACTTTGATACTCCTGACCTAAAGTTTCAGGCTTGCTTCAGAAATGGGTTAACAATGAAAGGAAGTGACATCATGAAAACATGCTCTTACACATTTCAGTGGGGAGCCTTCTTGTGAATGAGCTGAGACATGCTTTTTTTGGAATTCACCTAAACAATCCTTTAAAAAGTTTATGTTGGAATGTATGTACAGAATGCCAATCTGGTGATGGCAACTGCTGGCTGGCCTGAGGGTAGTTTCTACCCAACATATCTAAAAGATACAAGTTTGATAAAAAGTCAAATTAATTAAATATTTCTCTTACGTCCACTAGATGGCAGATATTATCTATTGTTCTAAAAAACAAGACTAGGTATTTCAACTCCTAAGGAACAAATCACTTCAAGACTGAAGTCTGAAGTTTAAAACAGCATGCTACATAATCTTGCTAATAATTATCTGGAATGCTTGCTTGCAAATTGCATGACAGAATGGTAGACTGCATGGAATCTGTTATGTTTGAGCTTATGCAAGCAAGCCCCATTTGGTTTCTTCCACCATGAAGCTATGAGATAGCTAAATATATTTTCATTGATTTATGGTACCACTTTTGGTTCCACCAAGCTTCAAATATACCCATCTACAGTGTCTCTTGAAACTATGGTCCTCTATTGCCACTTCGTATTGCGTTCCCACTGAATTCCTGTTCATTTAAGGCAGGGGTCCCCAACCCCAGGGTTGCGGCCTACTACCGGACCCTGGCCCATTCGGAACCAGGCCACAGGAGTGGCGGGTGAGCATGCACAGGCGCACAGATCCATTTGTGGCAGCAGCGGGTGAACGTGTACATGTTTTCCATTTGTACAAGCAAGATGTGCCACTTGCACAAATGGAGGTGCATGCATACTCACCATGCACACATAACCATTCCCTCTCCCTCATCCTTTCGCTGGTCCACAAAGCTAAAAAGGATAGGAATTGCTGATTTAAGGGTATCATCCCATGAAATGTACTGTATATATGTATGTATTTGTGCATGAGGCTATTATGAGCATTTAACTATGTTGATATGCAAAAACTCATGTATGCACTTCTTTCTGTGTGTCACACACACACACACACACAACAAACCCAGAATACATCACCTGCTCTCATTGTAAGCCTATAGGGAAAGGTCTAAGGAATTAAAACAAAGCATTACTAAAAGAATGTCAATGATTAAATGCTGTATGTTGCTTCAACTCATTAGATTATGATCAAAATTCTACTGAGTATAGAAATTGGTTTTCCAACTTAGCTATTTCGTTTGTTTGCCGTTCATGTACCTCCTATTCTTGCTTCTCCAAAAATTGTGGAAAAGTAGTTTAAAACAGTTGAGGTAGGCAAATGGAGACTGAGCAAGTTAGAACAATTAACCATAATCATTCCCAGTTGGGTTGATTTAAGACTCAGGTTTTAATGAAGGTCACTGGTCAGCTGACACACAGGACTAGTAACCTGTCCCATCTTCAGAAACTTTCCTAAGGCAATCAAAAAAATGTTTAAAATGTGAAACCAGAGATTTTTTTATTGGGAAACTTACCTGATATATATAATAAAAATTTGAAGTATTTGACTGTAAATATATTAACAGCGGCTAGGATTGTATTTGCTAAAAACTGGAAGAGTGAGAAAACTCCATCAGAGGAAGAAACTATTAAGAAAATATTGGATTGTGCTGAAATGAGTAAATTGACATTTGAAATCAGAGAACAAGAAGATAAACAATTTTATGAAGTTTGGGATGTTTTTTATCAATGGTTAGATAATAAAACATAATAATAGAATATTCAGATTTAGCATAAAAAATTTTTTTCTTGATATTATCTTTATAAAACATTATCAAGATAGATTTGGTATGATCTTATGATTTATTGCAAAATAAACTAAGTAAACTATAGTTATCTCGTTAAAATATGAATTAACAAAATTATAGATAAATGATTTTTTTTAGTGATATTAGGTTATACAATTATTGATTGATAATATGAGCTATTATGTAATATATTAGTGACTAGGAAATGGATGCACAAAAAAAAGTGGTAAATCAATCGATGCACTGTATGTAAATTCATGAAGGATGATATTTTTATGTTTTTTGTGGTATGTTTATGTTGTCTTGTTAAAATAAAAAAAAAATTATATAAAAAAATGTTTAATTCTTATTATATTGGATTTCTCCTTATAGTTCAGGGGTCCCCAACCACTGGGCCGCGGACCAGTACCGGTCCGTGGAACATTTCCTACCAGGCCACCAGTTTGCTGGGTGCCGCCATCTTGTTTGACGAGAAAGTGCTTCCGGGTGAACTTTTCCGGTTGGAAAGCGGCGTTTGGGTCCTGAAGGAATCCTCGTGCCTTAGTTTCATCGAAGGGGGGGGGGGCTTTGAACGAAACTAAGGCGCGAGGATTCTTTCAGCACCCAAGGCAAGGCGAGCCGAGCGGCCGTACAAAGGAGGAGTTGAAGGTGACAGGGAGAAGCGGGGGGTGCTGGCTGGCCAGTCGCTCGGCTCGCCTTGCCTTGTCATGTGTGCTGATGCCAGTACGGGGCTGCGGATCATTTTGTGATGCCAGTACCGGGCCGTGGCACAAAAAAGGTTGGGGGCCACTGTTATAGTTCACCGATGTGCAGTTGTATCTCCTAAGTGTGAGGAGAAGGTTGAGGGCATCTGAGCTATATATAATAATCACCTTAAGGAGAAATGCAACACATTATAATCAATAAAACCGACTTGTTCCTTTTGTCTTTGGGAGATGGGATTTCTGTTCCTGACTACATTCTGTTTACTGATTAGTTACTGCTTACAAACGGGGTGAGTGCTATTTTTGAGACTTTAATTACACATTCAAATACAGAGGCACAAAGCAAGGCTGGGAGAAATAAGAAGCAACACTATAATTAGTAAGAAGAGATATTTACCCTCTCACAATCTGAAATTGCTTTGGAGCTGCCTTTACTGGTCCTACTGCTATATGACTCATTCAGTAGTGTCCCAATTCTTTGTCTCCAACAGCAAAGGGCAAAGGTAATTTTCATTTAACTTTGACGCTTTCTTTGACAGGGAATCAGAATTTTCCGTAAGCCACCTCATGAGCTTTTCCTCCTTCCGTGATCCCGAAATGTTTCAATGAATTTCATTATTGGCCTTGAAACTGCTGACAGTTCCAATGCAGAACTCTACCCATACTCTAAAATAACACACGTGCTTATTGTTGTTTGTTGCATAGTCAACCAAATTCAGACTGGATTTGGCATTTTTCTTTATTTATCGAGTCCTTTTCAAGGATGATGATGATGATGATGATATGGTATTGTTACAGTAGCCAGGAAACCACAATGCTATTGCAGAGTAGTAGTTTGGCTTGGCAAGGTACCAGCTCTGTTATAGGAAATGCTTGATGCTTCCCAAGGTGCACCACAAGACAGTGAGCTGGCTTTGCACCAGAGAGAAAGGCCCCCTTCCCAGAGCTGCCTCACAAACAGGCGCCACAACCAGGCAGGTTCAGAGCTGTCGGGAATATGATTGCCTGCATAGAACAGCAGCTTGTCTCCACACCGAAGTGGTACCTATCTATCTTCTTGCGTAGAACATGTTTTCGAACAGTTAGGTGGACAGAAGCTGAGGAGAGTGACAAGAACTCACCCTGACACCCAATGCTTGGGCTCAAACTGCCAGAGCCAAGATCATCTCCAGCATTATTAAGCCATTGAACCACCATACCTTTATGTACACACACACACACACACACACAGAGAGAGAGAGAGAGAGAGAGAGAGAGAGAGAGAATATTTAGTTTCTGAATACCACGTGACAAACGCTGCCATTTCCACTGTATTTTTCTGACTAAGAGGGGGGAAAACCCTCTCCACAAGGAACTAAGGTAGGAGTTAGTATTAGTTCTTTGAGGAGAGTTTTCCCTCAATCACTTGCACAGTCCCTTTTTGTAAGGGACTAATAGGAGGGCCCACCATAAAATACTAAGTCACACCCCTATTACATGTCCAGAATCCTTTCACATTATCATGGAACCCTTGGATTCTGCACTAGCAGGAAAATGTGTTCTACTATTCATAGAT